CAAATAGGTCCATCCACTTTTGAAAAATTACAAAATGACCGAAAAAATTTCTAGGGCTTGTAAAACCTTCCAAATATCATTTCTAATCCATGGGAATTTTTCCACAATTTTCCCAACTTATTTCCTCATGGTCAAATGCTTTAAGGGTATATTTCTCATGATTTTCACTTGATTCAAGTATAAAACCAACCTCTATTCAATATTTCAAGACCTCTAGAATCAAACCCCTAACTTAATTTCATCAAATACATTTCCCCTAAAGTTAGTTTTTGGTTGAATTCAACATAGGCCCATATAGCCATGTACAAGTGATTTTAATCAACATTTTGGAACAAACTCTGTGATAGCTCTTTTCATGCCAGGCTACCAAAATCGACTCTTTATATCTTGGTACATCTTATTTCCGCCTGGATGCATAGTCAATGGACTATAATGTGCCTCAGAGAGAATATCTTTCTTTAGTTCTTCATCGTCGGAAATACAAAGTCTCCCACGATAGTACAACATTCGTCGAACCTGACCTCAAAGTCCTTAATCCTGCCATTTTCTTCTACTTGCGCAATTATTACCAATCACTTTTAGCCTTTCCTTTGTAATTATCTTATTCGATCTAAAAGTACCATCTTAAACTTTAACTCGACAATCAAGGTGTCATCTTCCTTTAAAGACAAACGATCATCCAAAGCTCTCAAGACTGTAAAAGTATTTCGGTTAACTGCATCAACCACCATATTAGTGTTCCCTAGATGATAATCGATTATCGCATCATAATATTTCAAAAGCTCGATCCATCTTCTATCTCAAGTTCATATCTTTTTGAGTCAACAAGTATTTTAGGTTTTTGTGATCCGTATAAATATAACACCGATCACCATACAAATAATGGTGCCAAAAAAGCTGGCTTTGTCTTTTTCTAGCAGCCAACCCGTTTAAAGAGAAAGGAACGAAGGAAAATTACCTTTGCAAAACACATAACCTGTCAAAGGACAAAACGGAAGGATCTTTCAGGATCATAAAAAATCTCCTATTTTCCCTAAGTCAAAGGTTGACAACCAACGATAGCATAGTACATATATCTTCTAATTTGGGAAATAAGAATGTTCCGAATGGGAAGGCTAATCACGATGGAAAAGGATAGGATTTTAACCACTTGGGATTAGTCTAATCCCAAATGTTAAAGATCCATTTCGATGATAAGCTTTACAAGAAGAGATTTTGAGCTTTGGGGAATGGAGAAAACAAACTTTATCATTTAAAGTTTTCCGACTGGACAACCATAGGTCCTCTCCGTTGGTTCATAATATTTTTGCCTCTATTTGGGAAATTTTGGAAAGAACTTTTGACTAATGCTTACATCCAAACTTCTTCCCACAAAGGTACAGGAATATCTTCGGACTTGGAGTCTTTGATAAAGATTTCAAAAAGAAACCAATTGAATTCCAACAAACTTTCCTCTTTTGAATACTCAAAGAAAAAGTTTGATGTGAGAAGAAACCTTAGACAAACCAAGTTGAATCGTCCTAGTCCTTGCAACATTTGGGATAGAGCTAATGTTGGGAAAAGGGATGTAGGACACTTTTCCCAATTCTTTAGACCTCTCAATCACACTCTTTTATTCGGTTCCAAGAGAGGGCTCCCTAAAGCTCAACCGTGGTCTTTATATTCTAACATTTTTTTTATTTCCTTACTCACCAAACTCTAGTTGCTTTCACCCAAAAATCATTTGTTTCCAACCTTTGAGACTTCATTTCAAGGTTGCCATCATTTCGGAAGAGGTCTTCCATCTTATGAACCAACTCTCATTCACCGAAGAAGAGATATCTGTTTTCGAAACGCCGATAGTGATTAGGGAGGCAGATTTAGAAGTTATGGACAAATGGATGGTTGAGAAACTCATAACGTTCAAGTTTGTCGAAAGGAGTTCGGTTCTTAAAGTTTTTCGCTCGATTTAGGGACCAAGCAAGCTGGTGAAAAGAACATGTTTGGGCCCTCACATGTTTCTCTTCAAGTTCAACACCTTGGAGGAAAAACAAGAGGTGATGGGGAAGACATCGTGATTGCGGTTTTTGATTTTGACCCAACACTTAGTGTTGACGAGTTCAACTTTGAAATTCTTCCCATTTGGGTAGGAGTGTTTAGTCTTCCGTTGGGGCTCATGAATCAAACTTCCAGAGTAAAAATCGGGAATACCATCAGATGAACCATTGCGGTTGACTTAAAGAATAGTGATGGCCGCCTCGAAGAATTCCTTAGGATCAAAGTGGAGATCAACATCAATAAGCCTCTTAGAAGATGTCTGAATGTCATAACTCGAGCGGATGAAAACACTCGACAGTCTACTCAAATATGAGCGGTTCTTGGCCTTTTGTCACGGATGTGGTTTGTTCGGACATGTTATAGTGGAGTGTTTGACGTTTATTATCAGCAACGGAAACCTTCTCCAATACGGTGATTGGCTTAGAGTTAGGTCAACATTGTACCATGCTAGCACTTCGAGAGCAATACGAGGGGGAATTTACTATGTCGAACAAGATGACCTCTCCTGTACTGAACCAAGACCCCTCCATGGGAAACTCTTACTGATCCTCCAGGGTTCGTTCCTTACTCTGGGATGGAGGCACTAGTGAGACTCACCCACAAGCCAACCCGAAGGCTCCAAAAAAGACAGTTCAAGAAGATGATTCGGAACCTGTAGAAGAATAAGGTACAAATAATTGTTATACCATCCAACCTGTCGCAAATGGGAGACAACCGAGCGTTAAACTAATATAGTCGAGCAATGGAAAGAGGAAAAGCGGGGACAAGAATAGTGGGAAAACGAAACAAGAGAATACACGGACAAAGCGAACAATCGGTTACCGCCAACATCGTGACCCCCCGGATTGAGAAGGAGATCATCTCAGGCACTACCAAGCCTCCTTTAGACGGAGACAACCATGATGAACCAACGACGACGGCTGGGGAACAACCCCGCCAATCGCATGAGTCTTGTTTGTTAGAATTATCACGGGCTTGGAAACCAGGCGACAATTCAAGAGCTTAAACGTATTATTGTTAAAAGGTCTCCCATGCTAGTGTTTATCTCAGAAAGTAGACTTAGGAAGAACAAAGGCGAGCATGTTCGGACTAGGGTTGGAATGAAGAACTGTTTTGTAGTCGAGAGCGCCGATGGCTGTATTGGGCTCTTTTTTTATGGAATGAAAATGTCCATGTGACCCTTCTTGGCTACTATTCTTTGCATATAGATGTTGAAATAACTTGGAACAATTTACAGTTCCATTTTATTGGTTTCTATGGAGTTAGTAGCAGCACGAGGAAAAAAGAAAATTGGAATTTATTAAAATGGTTAGCCATGACCTCCACCTTACCCTGGATTGTTGGGGAAGATTTCAATGAAATCATCCATCCAAATGAAAAAAGAGGAAGAAGACCAAATGACGACACTCAAGATTTCTAAAACAGTATTCGCGAAGCCAATTTATGGGATGTAAAGCCAAAAATGGGGTGGTTTACATGGAGCTCTGGTCGAAAAGCTACAAACCACATCCATGAAAGAATTGATAGATTTGTTGTATACCCGGAGTGGATTCAGTGTTTTAAAGACCACACCATCAAGTCGAAAAAACATAATCACATCGGACCACACTTTTATTTCGATCAACCTCATGAAGAAGGACAATTACCACACCTCGCCCCCATGTGGAGACTATTTCAAATTTGAGGTGTGTTGGGCCAAAGAAGAGAACTATATAAACCTCATCAAGAAGACTTGGACTTGGACCGACAAAAATGACCATGATCTTTGAAAAATACAAGAATTGGGGAAACATCTGGGCTATTGGCCGAAAAGAATATCCAAAGCAAAAAAAAGAGGAAGAATCCATTAGAAACTCAATCCATAAGGTGGAACTAGAGCCCATCTCTGAAACGTCTCTGACGCACCTAAAGGCTCTAAAATGAGAGCTAAAGCATCTCATTGATAAATAAGAGACTTATTAGAGACAAAGATCTCATGTGGCCTAGCTTAAAGAGGAGGATAGAAATATGACTTTCTTTCATACAAGAGCAAATGACAGGAAAAACAAGAACTTGATTGAGACCCTTAACGAATAGAATGAAAATCAGGCTAACCATATTGAGGACATCTTTAGGATTGCTACTGACTTCTTTAATTTTCTATTCCGCTCCTCTGGGACATAAACCTCGCAGTCAATTCTACAAACTATTAATAGATGTGTATCTGAAGATGATAATACGAATCTCAATCGTGACTTCACTTCCGAGGAAGTTCTGATTGCCTTTAAACAAATTCACCCCAACAAAGCTCTTGGGATCGATGAACTCCCAATCTCATTTTACTGTTCCTTTTGGGATATCCTAGGTGAGGAAGTTATACAATTATGCCTTAACCTACTTAAAGGTATCATCATCATGAATGAAGTCAGCAAAACTATCATTGTTCTCGGACCTAAAATCAGCAACCCTCAGTCCATGAAAATTTTTCGTCCCATTAGCCTATGTAATATCATTTACAAAATTGTGTCCAAAGTCATTGTCAATAGTTTGTAACCAATCATGTCTAATTGTATAGACCATAATCAATATGCCTTTGTCCCAGGAAGGAAAATCTCGAATAACTTCCTGATCGTTCATGAGCTTTTTCACTACTTGAAAAGTGCTAAAAATGGTCCAAACAAAGGGACAACCTTGAAACTCGACATGGAAAAATCTTATGACAGGTGGAATGAAATTTTGTTATGAAGATTATGACATATATGGGATTCATAAAGGAGTTCGTAAATCTAATCCAAAGATGTATAAGCATAGCCACCTTCTAGGTCAGAATCAACGGACAGTTCTTTATTAGCTTCACCCCGGAAATAAGACTCCATCAAGGAGACCCTTTGTCCTCTTATATGTTACTATTGTGCACCCAAGGTCACTCAGCCCTCCTTTTAAAAGCTCAATAGGAAGGTCTCATAAAGGGGGTTAAAGCTAGCATGAGAGGCCCAAGAATCACCCATATTCTTTATACGGATGCCAGCATTTTGTTCATCAAAAACTCTATCCAGGAAGCTCAAAGGATCAAAGAACTAATTTACACCTACGAGCTCTTATCGGGACAGACGATCAACTCTGACAAATCTAGCATTTCCCCTTGTAATAGGGAAAAGGAAAATTCCAATCTTCAACTTCATCAAAGACAAAATGCCAAGAGAATCCAAGGGTGGACGAAAAACCTGCTTTCTTTTGGAGGCAGAGAAGTCTTTCTTAAAGCAGTGGCGCAAGCTTTTCCTACCTATGCCATGTCCTGTTATCTTCTCTCGGAAGAGATTATTGATGACATTATGAGACAAATCCGAACTTTCTGGTGGTCGGGAAGACAAGATAAACGAGGATGATCTGGAGTCATCCCGACCATTGGTATTATTGCTAGAGACCACAATGGTATGGTTTTAGGGGGAATGTGTAGACGAATTGATCCACCATTCATAGCGAAATCAGCCGAGGTTAAAGCATTCACTCAAGGAATAAAATTTACACTGGAAAATGGATGGACAACGACGACCATTGAAGGAGATGCAATTAAAATTGTCAACGGATTTGCCAATCAGAACCATGATGAGTCAACCATCGGATTGTTTCTAAACGAAGCTCGAATTTTGCTACATGATAATAAAGACCTAAGAGTTCACTATGTCAACCGTGAAGCGAACAAAGCCACTAATACGCTTGCCCAATGGGCGTTATCAAATCCCAATTCGTTCTGGTTCTACTCTGATGAACCGGATTGTATTAAATATGTAATCATTCACGATGCCATTGAAATATAATCCTTCACCACTTTAAAAAAATGTATTAGTTGTTACTCAAAGTAAGGAATGTTACTTCGAAGAGGACGACATGTAGGTCAATATTAATTAAAATAAATTTCTATTATGGTGACAAATTTAATTTTGTCAAAATTATTTTATCACTATTAATATTTTTTGAGACAAAATAAATAAGCATTACATTAAATTATAAAAATATATACAATTGTGACAAAAAATAAAATTGTTGCAATATTTTATCACAATTAGCAAACTTGTGTAGCATATGGTGAAAATATATATTGTTATCATTTTTGGTCACAAATGTTTCATTCCATTTTTTTGGATATATATATATATATATATATATTGACAAATTTTGCGAGTATAAATTTTAGTAATTATGATAGAAAAATTGTCACAACAAATAATGAGATTCTAATTTTTCGTGACAAGTTTTGTTTGTAGTTATATATTTTAATTATAGTGGCAAAATGTATAGTCACAAATGTTTACCTCTAGGTTTTGGAGCAAACAAAAGCAATATAATGACATGTTTTGTAACTATAACTTATAATTATTGTTACAGAAATTATCTCAACAAATACTGAGTTTCAAATTTTCGGTGACAAATTTTGTTTGTAATTATATATTTTAATTATAGTAAGAACTATATTGTCATAAATGTTTCTCTCCATTTTTTAGGCACAAAAAAGTTATATAGTGACAAATTTTGTAACTATAAATTTTAATAATTATTACAAATAAAATTATCACATCAAATTGAGTCAAATTTTTATTTATTTATTTTATAATTATTTTATTTTGATAAAATGAAAAAGTATTTCTATTTTAAACAATCAAAATAAACATAACATGATATTTTAAAATCATTAGTTATTTTTTTATTTCAGTGAAAATTGATTATTTGAAAAATATTTATAAAAAAACTTAAAATTTTATCATGTAATATAAGAAATAAACCAAAACTACTTTTTTTTTAAAATAAATCTAAAATGTTAAAATTTAAAATCAAAATGAAAAATAAATTTATCAAAATTAAATTATAATAAATTATTTAAAATTTGATAAAGAATCAAATTTTATTATAAATAAAGAATATAATTTAGAGAACAATAGATAAATCAAATAAAATTGATAAAATATTATTAAAAATAAAAAATTATATGACAAAAGGAAATATTAAATTAAAATAAAAAATAACGACGACAAACTTCGTTAAGTTATTTGTTAATTATATTATACATGTTATAATATGAGTAGTGAACACGTACATGGATATAAAATGGGGATAGGAGATTGTATTCGTAAATAACAGTTAATTAATACATATTACCTTATATTAAAATATAAGTTACTTATTGTTCTAAATGTCTAAAATTGATACCTACATAAATGTATCCAACATAAATTTTAAGTTGAATATTTTATGAAATTTACAAAGATGAGTAAATAATTAACATATCATGCCTTTTTTATTTGTTAATCTTATCATCTAGACTCAACTTCATTCAAATTCAATCATCATTTAGGATAATAATTTAACTTAAACCCGACGTAAAAAACATATTAGAGTTTGTGACCTTTTTCATATTGTGTTGGTCCAAAAAAATTACCATATGATTTATATGGTGAAAAATGAAAATTTTAGTTATAAATTAAAATTATAACTAGATTTGGATAAAGTTTGTAACCTTTTTCATATAATGTATTTGGATCATGTTTTAAATATAGTTTGTATGTGGATTATAGATTATGTATTTTATTTAATATAGATTAATATATTTTATTTTTTGGTATAATCACCAGTATCCGATCTATTAATCGACTAACTCGGATCAGGTGTCTCATCCCACTAGACCAGTTGGTTGTTGGTTAATATATTTTAATTTAACATGAATGACAAAATAATCATGTATGATACAGATGATATAAAATCGTAATATTAAATATGTGTATTATATATATAAGGGTTTATAAATTTAGTTGTATTTTTTTTAGATTATGTAATTTTGATTTATAAATTTTATTATTATTTGTTTTTTTATTTAGAATATATATGTATATAATCTATTTTTATGAATTTCAAATATAACTTTTAGAAATTGTGAAGTTGCTCTTAATAATATAATTAAATAATATATATTTAAAATAAATAAATAATTTGAGAGGGAAATTTTTCTCTCTTGTTCTCTGAGTGGAAACTGATTTTTAGAGAAAATTTTATTTATACTTATTTTATAAATAATATTTTTTCAAACTTTAATTATACTTTTGTTTAATCGTTCCAGGCTTTTTACTTTATCTTTTTCTAATTTCTTCAACATTAAGGAAAAACTAGTAAGTTATTTTTTTATATTTGATCTATAATTTATAGTTTATATTTGTGTTCTTTCTAGACAATCATATATAAAAACAAGAGAGTGAAAGTTGCCTCATTGATTATGGTTGATCCTACTCGACAAAAACAATCAAAATCCAACACAAATGATGAGTTAATGATCAATAAAGGTAAGAGAGGTGATAATTTCATTTTATTTTTGATTGTTAATTTTAATTTTTTGGCCATATTATAAAAAATAGAATGAAAATAGATTTTTGTTCTTGTTTTATGAATACATATTGTGAACTCCACAAAGAAAAAAAAGAACAGTTTTATTTGTAAAGGGACAAAAAATTAATGTAACATAACTTGAATTAATTTATTTGGTTTGAGACTACTATTTGCTTTACATGTTTTTAAGATTATCTTTGTGAATGTTTTTTTTGGGGACATATGGCTATATTTTATTTTAATATTCTTAAGGAGTTGTTTTTTTTAGAATAGACAATTAATATAGTGTGAATTGCATATATAAAAGTTTAAGCTCATCAAAATCAATGGTTGTTTTTTTGGGGACATATGACTTTATGATTTTATAAAATTTTATTCTAAATATTTTATATTTATTTTAATAATGTTTAGTATTAGTTTTATTATATAATATTTAAAAATATATTTTTAGTTTTCATAGTAATTTTCAACAAATACTATTTTGTAACATAAATAAATTATGACAAATTAATTTAATCACGGAAACAAATTATGAAATAAATTTTTTTTTTCAAAATTAATAAATTATGATAAATCTATGTAGTTAGAATAACATATTAAATTTAATCAAAATAAAAAATTATTTCAAATTTATTTAGTCACAATATTTTCTCATAATAACACGGCAAATTTATTTAGTCACAAAAATCTTCTATATTTTCTCATAATAACACGGCAAATTTATTTAGTCACAAAAAATTATTTTTTGTTGCAATATATATTTTTGTCACAAAAATCTTCTATATTTGATGTTAAAATACAAGTTAATCATGACAAAATGTATTTCTCATGAAAAAATAGTTAATTGATTGTGAAACATATTTTGTCATGATATGTTAATTATTGTAACAAAATTTTATTGTTACAATAAATAATATAAAATGGTAATAAACACAATTTCGTCACAATATCTTTTACATGACGAGGTTATTCTAACAAACATGATAAGAAATAAAGTTCATGAAAATAAATATATCGTGACAAATTTAGTACCTTTAGTGATAAATAATTTTATTACAACAATAAAAATTTCTTGTAGATTCTTACTATTGCACTCAAATCTTGATAAAAGATTAAGCCATGGATCCATTTGTTTCCTTAAAAGTAGTTTTGGAAAAGAAAAAAAATGGATGTCCCTTGTTCCCATATGTAATGGGATAAGGGGGAGATAAGATAGTAAGCTGCCCCCAACACCAGGTTGAGAGCAGCTTCCGTAGAAGACCTTCAGATTATGAAATGCCCTCCGTGAGACTCGATCCCACGACCTCAAGGTTAAAAACCTTGTGCTCTACCAACTGAGTTGGATAGTCATCTCATAGTTTTGGAAAAGAAGATTTTATTAAATGGAAAAAGTTTAGGCAATAGTATTAGAAAGTAAATTTCATCATGGATTAGGTTACTAATATTGGATTCTAAAATATTTAGAGCCAAGTTTAACTTGCCTCCATTTTTTATTATTAAATTCTAAATCTAATCTTAACCCTAATCATACTTAGAGTGGAAGGGAATAAGGATTCCAAAAGAAAAAAAGAGAGTACTTCCAATAGGTCTAGAACTCATGACTTATGTGAATATAAGAGAAGAAATAGACAACTTCACCATCGGATCAAATATACTTGCTCACTTCATCCATTTTTAAATTTAATATGTTAATATTTTTATTATAATTTATATGGTTAAATATTATGTCCATGGACAAAAACTAATTTCAAAAGAAAATTCTAGACTCAAGTCCGTCCCCTTCATATTACCTTCTTTTTATTTTAAAAAATACAATATTAAAATATATGGTTTCATATTATTATTCTAATTCCATAAAGTATATATTTTAAATTATTGGACTGAAGAACTACACTAAATTTTAATCGTTTTGGTATTGATAGTTTAAAGCTTTGCATTTCTTTTTATCATCGGAATTCCAAACGCAAACATTTCCAAATAAATATGCAATGAAGATCATCATAAACGCTTTTTGATTAAGAACGTTATTTAATTATTAGATAACAGGTGAGAGATGAGCTTAGGGATCAGGTAATTTTGAGACACCAACACCATTAGTAACAGCGACGGATGGCGTTGATTGATCATCTTCATGATCGCAGTAGCCTTCAAGAACGTGGGTCTCTTGGGTTGTAAAGCCTAGTGCATCGATCATGTTGGGCCAACATTGATGGCTTACGGTACGAATTGCATGGCAACAGTTGTGTCCTATTTCGGTCTCACCATTCATGAAGAACATAATCAGCTCTCCTGTGCATGATTGAAGCTGAATCAATGAGCCCCAGCAGTCGGGTGATTCCTCATCCAACTTCAACCCACCCAACAGGTCGCTTCTTGTTGTCTTGGGTAGGTCTAATGGCCTCGCCTCAGCCATCAAAAGCATTCTCATTACAAACACAAAAACATAAAACAAGACCCCGCACGTGGAACCCATTTCTGAGAGATTTCGTTTGGTTATTGGCTGGAAATAGATTGCCGATACATATGGAAAAGACTGAATTGTTGTGGTTTATATAAGGATGGCAACATTGATGATTGAAAACTCTGGAATGTTGATAGGAAGAAGCTGATGAGACTCATCAGTTTTGCTTCATCAATTGCATGTTCACTACATTGCAATAAATGATATGAAAAACCTTTTTGATTTATCAAACAGGTTAAATTTTTTTTTTGTCCTTTCAAATCTTTAGTCTCTAGAAATCCTATATATTCAAACTTCAAGGCAAAGTTATAATATTAATGTCTTGGATGCCTGTCATTGATGAGGTGGTCTGAGCTAAGATTCATGTACTTGGAATCGGTGGTTGAACTTTGAATTGAAATATTCATTCGAGTGCCTTTCTAACTTTTCTCCCCCTTGCATATGGCCCGTTACTTGGATACCTTTGAGTTTGAATCAGAAATTATTAGGGGAGTCAGACATGTGAGGTTGGGGCCAACTCGACAGGCAGAGCAGCCGAAAGAACCATAAATTAGATTGGACAGGTTTTGTTGTAGTTGCTGTTGTTGATGCCATTGTATTATTCACTGGGAAAGCCTGCCCATTTTTTACCACTAGAAGACACCACCTCAAACTCATGCTGTTGGATTTATGTGACGTCAAGGGAATTCAAACATCCACTGCCTGCCATCCACATGCCATGACAGAGGAAGAGTTTTTTTCTCTTTAAGATAACAAAGAAGCTGTTGAGGTGAAACAGCTGGACGTTGGAATCATAGTGTCATTTCTTAGCTAATCAGACAAGACTTGTGACCCTCCATGGAAATAGGATGGTGACAACTGATGTACGTTTGTGAAAGTAGGGGAAGTACCCCTAAATCCTAAGCTCCAACAAACGAATGTCTGAACAAAAATGAAAACTCATTCAGTAGATGACAGTACATGGTACATGTCCTTTGTCTTAGGAAATCATAGAATTCAGTGGTTTTTACCATTGTTGTTCAATTGAAATCTGAAAAGTACATTGGAAAAACAGACCAAACCAAACCAAACATTAATATCTGGTTCAAATTTAGCCGGTAAATTATTTTAAGCCATTTAAGCTCTTCTTATCCTTAAAATTTTGAATCACGTCTTCCACAAGGAAAATAAATGTTGCAATGATCCATTCATTATTTGGGGGGAGATCATCTTTGTTGATTGGATATTTCTCATCTTTCTTAATCACTTCATTTTAAACATCAAATGTGCCATATGTTACACCACTTACAGACACTCTCAAAAGATGAAATGGAATTTGAAAGAACTACACGGTCACTTATGTCAGGGTGGTAACAGATTTCAGATGAGTTCCGGCATTGCTTTAACTGGTCTGGCCAGATTTCTTGGCTTCTAGCTCAGGCTATCGCTTCCTTGCAGTGTCGGTGAGAATCAGAAGAAGCTCGTAAACCATCCTTGCGGACTATGATTGCCAAGATGATTTATCTATGTCGCATCCAATTATGAAAAGATAGAAACGTATTCTATCAAAGATTAAAAGATTGAAATGTTGAGTAGGAGGCTCAGTAACAGTAAAAATAAACAGATAGGAAATGTTTTGATATCCCCATTTTCTGCCTGCATATAATATTTACTGATCATGAATTGCCAAGAACTTTGTCATGCTGATTCTCATTGGAGTTTATATGAACTATAGCATTCAGTAAAGAATAAGAAACTGTGACTAGCTTTGGAAATGTCCAAGTCTACGGTACCTGAACTTTTTATGAGCTTCTGCAATGTGATAGAAACAAGCACCGTTTCCTCAACCGCTCTGTTGTAATTTGAGGATTCAAGTAACTGAGGCACAAGTATTGAGCATGCCATGGAATGGAAATCTTTATCTGGAACTAGGTGGAGAAAGTTGCTCATCCAGGCAACAGTTAAGAGGCTTGCTCGAGCTAAACTAGGAATGCCCTTGGCCATAGAATTCGAAAGTGCGATCAAGAATCTCTTGTTGCCACTGGTTAGCAAGGCAATTGCTGCTCTTCTCTGCCATCCTTCTATGGCTTCCTTCTCTTCATGCTGGTGATTATTGTTAGGGAACAAACATTGTCGGTGTATGCCCTCTAAGCTTAAAAAAAATATCACAATTCACAGGCTTACCAAGATATCATCAACTATTTCCTTTGTTTGAAATGAGCTCCCTAAGTTTTCATTAAAGCCTACTTGTTCCAAAAGCCAGTTTTCTGTTGTTGCCTCTCCATTGTAAGAAAAACAGCCTCCCAACATCAAAAGAGCTCTGGCAGATTGTTCTTGAATTTTGTGGTTACACTTTTCACAATCTAAAGCATCTACAATGGACTCAAGTGCTTCTTCTCTGTAAACACTGAGCCTTAAAGGATCTCCCTGTAAAAAGGCTGTAATCCATGATTTCCGAATCAAAATATTGCATATTTGTTACTTTTTTTTTTGAATTAGCTAAAGTAAATGGAAGAAGATAGAATATCTGATGAATGTTATTTCTTTCAGTATTTGATAAGCATGAGACCACGAGTCTTGGACCTCTTGGTAATAGAATTCTGTGTGATGGCAATGAAATTAAATTACCAGAATGTCAAGCTGTAATAAGATGACTGCAACCAAGGGGCGTTCTTCGGGTCGAGATTTCTGTAGATATGCCAATAAAATGTGCTTGGTATTCAAGCCACCCAATCCATTCAGCAGATCATTTAAGAATTTGATTATCCGTGTTCTTCTGTTAAGATAACTTAGGTCATTAGGATGTCTTTGAACCACTATAACTAGTTAGAAAAATCATGGTAAATCATAAAAGATTTGGTACCTGTTTAGGCAGAGCAGCTCAGTTAGCAAGGCAATAACAGATCCATTAGATCCATTAGAATCCTTACGGTTATGGTTCCCTACGATAAGTTCTATTAGAGATGCCTTGTTCAATTTATCAGCTATGTAGTTCCGACAAGTCCCATCGGCTCGAATGCAGCAGGATATGATCATGGCAGCATTCTGCCTCTCAGGAACATCTCCAATCTCAACATTTCTTATTAGAAGGCTCAATCCCCCAAGAGAAACCACTTGACTCGCATTCTCTAAGTTCCTATCTTCATTAAAACCTGTTAAAAGTTGGTCTAGGAAGTAAAATGCTGCCACTTGGGGACTGCATCTTACTGTAAATAAAGTCTGCAACGGCTCTCCGAACTCTAAAACTCGAAGAACAAGCGGAACCCACTCTGTCGATATCATCTGTTTTGCCTTTGGCTTTAACAAGTAAAGGAGCACGGCAGCTTTTAAAAATAGACTACTATTTCTCAACAGTCTTAAGAAGATCTCAAGCTGTGGATCTGAGTTAAGTATTATCTGCCTATTCACCTCATCCCTAGCTACAAATTCTGCTAAAATCGATATTGCTAATTCGAGAATTTCATCCTCAGTGGAAGCAAACAAGACCTCGAGGATTCCCTCGACAACAGGAGCCTTTGCTACTGCAGCTTCTATGGCGGGATCACCATGTGATTCCAACCATGCTTTGGTCATTACCCGGATTGCGATTTCACACTCAGTTAGACTATACGAGGAGCAAATAGTAGCAACGGATTTACGTAGGTCACTCAAAAGAAGATGAACATATTCCTTACTTCTCATTGAATTATGTCTGACAACATTTTTACCATTTACCGAGCATTCTCTTGGTGCGCTCTGGCAGGTAAACAGCCGGAAATGATCTGATTTATGTGTCTGGCCATAATTCAGTTTTTGGAGTTCGAGGAATCTGGCTTGATGAACTTCTACGTGTCTTGGTCAAGTTCTGTCAAGTTCAGAAACATAAATGATACTCTCCAATCTAACGGTATCTTGAAAAAATGGAACTGTAGTTTTCAAAAGATACATAATTTACCCACATGAACATAATTGCAACCATTGTAGTCTTCTTCATCGGTGCGTTCATTTTCTTCTGCCTCAAGGTGACATATGTCGATTGATGCTCTGACCTTTAATTTCAACTCATTTGTCGTGCCAAACACAGTTCGATACCTTTCAAACATTTAGGCAATCAAGAACACAAGTTATAAAATCAACATAATTAAGTACGATAAACTTCATGATTGATTAAAATATCTAAACTATTAACTTACAAGTTTTTGTTGATTGAAGAACGCGAAGCAAAAGAATCAGATGATCGCCTTCTTGATGGTCCGGAACAGGGACTTGGTGGCAAAGGCACCGAAGGAACAGCTGGGGCTAGAGCCCCAATTTTAAGCCACTCTTTATAGTACATAGCGAACTTACCTGTTCCCATGTCCATTTGGTCATTGTAGAGCTTGCATAAAGCTTTCATTCTCTTCTCTTTCTCGCCATGATCAAAGTTAGAGAGAAGTTCGAGTTCTCGGTGGTACCAAACCTTAAGGTGAAGAAGATGGGGAAGGAACAAATGTTCCCATAGATCAGGAAGCAGGTGGGTTCTCGCTAGGAAAGCCGAATCAACAAAAACTTGAAGCAAATGCCTGGCCGAAATGCTATGGTTCTTCTCCAGCTTGTAAATTATAGATAAGTACAGCTGAGCACATGCAGAGAGATGCGAATTGGGAACACCGCAAGTTAAACCATTCCTCGATTTCTTAGAATTCAAGGAAGCAACAATGCTCAAAAGCTTGATCGAATTCCTCAACGATTTCACTCTAAGTTCCTTTTTGTTACCCGGATTTTGTACTAAGTTGTCGATGCTCTCAATACCAAGTTTCATATTCTCAAAAATCTCATCATCGGTGCCGGCTTTTCTCCTTGCTAAGCAAGAGTTGCATTTTTCTTTGATCATCTCCCTGAAACTCTCGTCTTTAATGTACCTACCGGTGTAGCCACCGAGAACCGATATCACTGCTCTAACGGCGACTTCATCGATTGCAGGCTCATCTCTCCTTGGAGTACCACTACCACTATCGTTTATCAGTGGCTTGGCTTTCGGCCTATCCGAATTCGATACCCTTCTAGAAGAAAACACAGAGGACTCATTTCGGGTAATGGTCTCCTCGGCCTTGAGCTTCGAATTTCCCAAGCTTTTCCGATCATGGCAGATGTATATAGGCAGTGCTATAGACTCGTCTGGGTTTGCACTGCTTCTGTTTTTAATCCTGATTTTCTTCCCTCTCTCAAACCCTTCTTCCTTGAGCAGTTTTTGCAAAGACGAATCCATTTTTTGAGAGATGTTCTTGAAGAAGCAAAGGTTAATGGAGATCAATCTACAAAGCTTCACTGACAGACCAAAAAAAAAAAAGAATATAACGAAAGGACAGCCATAGAAGAAAGAAACACGAAAATTTAGAAATTGCACAAAAAACAAAGAAAATTAAGACAAGAAGATTTTGCGGGTGGTGATATAGTGTTTTTGTCCCTTTCCTACGGTTAAAAAAATAGAGATGGACCAGACCGGTTTAATCCAGTTAAAAAGCAGTTAGCTCCCCGCCAGAAGGGGTTCGATCATTGTGAACCGGGTTTGAGATGAATTAAAAATAAACTACTTGTGAAGAAAAGGACGTTTTGTTCAGTTGTCCCAATCTAATTGTTTAAGAGGTATCAAAACAAGAAAACAGCATATCTTGGGAATGCTTAACATGTGATCCGCTTATGTAATGTCGACCCCAATTCGTGGAAAATGGACCAATTTGATGTTTCAAGGTTCTCATGCAAATCAACTTGGTTTATATTATCAGCTGCACAGAACGGCATGGTAGAAAGATTACTACTTGTTCTAGTTAATTCTTTTAGTTAACATTAGGCTACTATCCATTATTGTAATCACACGCCTTCAGTTTATGTATTACCTTCTCTTTTATTTGAAAATGTTATTTTATTCCATGTTTTTCTTTTCTAATTTATTTCATATTTTTAGGTGCAGTTTTCCATTTTAGGGGAGATGGAATAGATTTGTCCATGAATGATGCTTGACAACTGTCATTTTGATGTCAAAATAAATTCTTCTTCCCAATAGAATACAAGAAATACGTAGTAAAGAGAAGTAAAAGTCAATATTCAGGGACTTAGAAAAATTCTCAAATTTCGGTTTGAATTGCTTAAGCCAAACTATATGAATAATTTAAAACAAAGATTAAGAAAATAAACAAAGATTAGAAAAACAATTATAGTAAAAAGCAGCCTCGGGCCTCGTTTTGACTCAATTCGTTTCTGATAATCGAAATTAGATTTTCACTTTGAGATTCACGCCGGTTACAGTTTACAAGACATTATCCATGTAACTTGCTTTTCACCTTGGTAACCGATTTTCCCAAAGCCAATCTTTGGAAATTCAACTTTTAATTCGAACCAACTACGACAATTGCCGTTAGTGCAAAAACGGTTTTAGTTTAGGAAAAGCCCGACTCGGATTATGTTGTATCTCTGAGAATCGAACCTGATCTCAGTTTCTCTTAGCGGATCACCGCTAAGTGTGTTCACAGGAAGTCGGATATGCTATTCGCCGATCTTTCCTCTCAACTTTAAATCATAACAACATCCTGACCAACGAGCTCTTTTTGAAAACAAAGTGTTTTGATTTTTAAAGGATAGGTCGATTACCAATCTAATTTTTTCAGAAAACTAAGAGTGACATCCTGAAGATATTAGGTGTTTTTCAATTCTCACATATTGAATTGAGTCATCGCTTAGTCTTTCAGTTTATAAGAAAATTAGTTAATCATGACAAAAATCATACTTAGCATGTTTAAAAATAAAACTTAAAATAAAATAAAAACGAAAACTTGAAAATAAAGAAAAAAAGAACTTTATAAAACCAAAAACAAAAAGAAGAATGAAATCTAAATGATATGTTTAGACTTACCCTAATAGAGTATTTATAGCTTCTAAAATCCTAGAGATAAATATAAAAATTAAAAGAAAAATAATCCTAAAGATAATTCCAAATGTTTTTAAATTCAAACTTTAAATCTCCTAAGATATTTTTGCCCGTCCACATTCCAGAAGGTGCTGACTAGATCTTCTAGAAAACTGCTGTTGACTGAACCTTTTAGAAACTACCACGTCAGACTGTGTCATATCCAGTGTCGTGCTTATATCTCCAGCCGTAATCAAATAATAATAAAAAATGTAGAATGTGCCATCTTTACTGCTAATTCTGAAAAAACAAGATCATGCAAAAAAAAATAAACACAATACAACCAAATCAGCAACAATAAATCTATAAAATTAAAAAATTAACGAGCAAATGTTATCGATTTATAACACTCATCAATGCTACACCATATCATGATATGACGCCACTTCTCAAATTATATACTAATATATTGTAATTTTATAGTATCAAAAAAATTTGATACATATATTCATAAATATATTTCATAGCACTATAATTATAATGAAAATGTTGATATAACAATGTATTATATATTTTTGAATTATTAAAAATAATAAATACAAATGGGACAAAATACAGAAATATAAGAATGCTAATTTGAAAGGTCATACATGAATTTCATGCTAAAAGGGAACACACGTCGATCGCTTTCTCATTTACAACTCAAGTGGAAATACAAGAGAGAGATGAGGGGAGTGAATCAAGTGTCGGCCAGGTGTACCTGATAGTGGGAAGAACCATCATAGAAAAAAAGAAAGAAAAGTTTTTTTTATTTTTATTTTGACTTCTTCATGAACTACGCTGTAAATATGCAAATACCCAAAATTTTGGACCGTTGGATTGGATAGCGACCTGTCAAGAAAAATGATTCACGAGACGGTGGAAATTTTCATTTGTCAATAGCACTCGTATATGCCTCACTAATTTTTGTTTATTCACACCAACGAGTACATCAATAACTTTTTAAATAAGATGCCACTGAATAAAATAAGGAAGGGTAACTGCTCTATGTCATAGCTATCTAGGCTAGGATTGTGGATTGGGCGTTTTTTTTCGAAAAATCATCGATGATCGATATATTTATTGATCTAATACCGGTCAGATTATATTTCTTGATCTAACACCCTTAGCAGTAAAACGCACCTCCTGAATCGCATTATATGTTGATTTGGCGTCACGTGGGGTAAGGCGCGCCCCTGCACCGCGCTATATGCTGACATGGGATACACGTGGGTATAACGCGGATCAGGGGCCGCGCCTTACCTGTGTATCTGCCACGCATCAGAAAGGCGCGCCCCCTGCCCCGCGCTATATGTTTAATTATCATACCCCGACGCTTCACACCCCAATCCTCCTTATAAATACTCCCATCCTCAATCACTTTCATCACACCAAATTCTCTCAATTTCTCTCAAATACTCTTATTTTCTCTATTTAAGGTATATTTTATTATATTTTTAATATTTTGTATTTAATTTATTTAAGTATTTTAATTTATTTAATATTTTACTTATATAATTTTTTGCAGATATATAATGGAAGGCGGTCTACTTCGCTTGGGTGTAAATCATATATCTCGACACTTTGCTGATACGGTAACATTTTAACTTTTTAATTTAATTTAAATTATTAGTAATAATTTGTTGATTTATTTAATGCATGATTATTAAATTAAGAATTAATTTTTGTAATTATTTATTTTTAGGAGAAGGACCGTGTATTAGATTCTTTTATTAGAAACCTTAAGTTAGTGATACCTAGCCGTGTCTTGCCGTATTTAGTAGAGGCTGGATTTGATTACATAGGTAGATATCAGGGTCACTGTAAGATAAAACCAGACCTTATCTCTGTCTTAGTAGAGCGGTGGAGGCCGGAGACCCACACATTCTATCTTCCGTGCGGAGAGTGCACGATTACACTTGAGGATATTGTTATGCACCTGGGGCTTCCGGTGGATGAGGATGTTGCTATGCACCTGGGGCTTCCGGTGGATGAGGATGTTATATTAGGGATTACGTAGGGTTTCTGGACTACTTTGTGCCAGGAAAATCTAGGACGTGTCCCGAAAAGTTTTAACGGTGGTCGGATACCGTTAAATTGGTAAGATGTCAATTTTCGGGAGTTGAGCGAGGAAGCGTCTGAGGATGAAGTTAAAATGTATGCACGGGAAAACATACTGCAGCTGATAGGAGGGTTGTTGATGCCGGACAAATCGCGCAACCAAGTTCACTACATGTGGTTGCGACATCTGAGCGACTTTCATCTGGCCGGATCATTCAGTTGGGGCTTGGTAGTTTTGGCTTTGCTGTATAGTGAGATGTGTCGAGCCATTGACTACAGGCGTAATGCTATCGGCGGATGTCTCCTGCAGCTGCAGTCTTGTGCATGGTATCGATTACCCTTTTTATGTCCCGTTGTGAAGAACCCATTCGTATTTCCACTACTCCTAAGGTAATTATAAAACTGATTTCGTATATTAATAATTTTATAAAGCGTATAATAATTTTTTTTTCCTTGAATAAGTGGTCTACTGATAGGAAAAATCATCAAGAACTACCTGATGATTTAGAAAAACTTAGGGTGCTAATCGATCAGAAGGCTGACACACATGTATGAATTTTAATGTTTAAAAATCGATTTTAGATTATAGTTATATAATTAGATTATTATTTTGATAAAAATTATATATATTTGTTTTAGTTTGAATGAGTGCCATATTCTACTGATGATGTGAAGGCGGTGATCCCACCTGAGTTGAGGGGCCCATCAGATGTTTGGATCGCGATGGTCCCCTTGATCTGTTATGCGACCGTCGAGTGGCATTACACTGATCGCGTGCTTCGGCAATTTGGTTGTTTTCAATGGATGAGTTGCATAGCACAGATAGACGCGGCAAGACAGATACATATTGGCTGGTGAGACATTATGAGTGAGTCGTGTTATGAGAGGATCGACATCGGCGTCTTCCCCGTAGAGAGCCCATTTTACTTGACCTCTTGATGGTTGCTGACGGTTATTATGAGTGGTTTAACAGTAACGGAAAACCGTTTCTGCTTCCCGAGGATGCACGAGGGCAGACCTTTCCGCGACGTCGATAGAGACGTTCACCGACACAGTACCATCTTCCCCCGACTCGTGGACGGAGAGTAGGTGCTTCTGGTTCATCCTTAGCTTCACCAACAGGACCTTCACAGCAGCCACCGTATCCAGCGACTTACATACTGTAGCCATATATGATGCCGCCACCGCTTTTCCAATACCAGATGCCACCGCCGCCTTCACCTGATTTTATAACCCCCGCCACCGCCACCGTCACAGATGACCCC